GCAACTCAAGTAGATAACTCCAAAATTTGATTGTAAATAAAATAATAAAAGTAAACAATTATTTGGATAAATTTGATGCACGATTTGAGTAACAACCCGGTAGTTCGTTGTTCGATGATGTGAGTGTAATAGATAAGTTTAGAGGTTTTACAAAATATTTTCCCCATTAACGGAAAATTATTATCCACAATTTAATTATGTTTTGGTTCATAGAATCAGTTCCTTTGTGTACAACACACCAAAAGAAAAGGAAAAGATAATTTTATTATTCGTGTGTCTTGTTGGTACAATGTGTGCTCTATTTAATGACATAAACTTATACAATATACACTCTTTCATTAATGTACATAATGATTACTAATGAGCAATTAAGCTCAAATTCAAATAAGGGGAGGGGATTACATGTAACACTCATTTGTGGACTAATATGTGCATCTAATATGATCATCCACAATATGAATATTTTCATAATACTCCCTCTTGGATGATCTTTAGATGAAAACATGTCTCATTAAAACCTTACTAGAAAAACCTAATGGGATAAAAATCTTAGTGACAAAAACGAGTACATACTAATCACATTCTCATTAAAATCTTACCAGAAAACCCCATTGGAAAAAACCATGAATAAGGGAAAAAGAGTGCAGTGCGTAAATCCCCCTCATGACAACATCAATCCATATATTTGAGCGTTGAACCCCAGTTTCACAAAAAAAAAAAAAACTTTACAAACATTATCGTTGAAAGTGGCTCGAACAAATCTTCTAGATTTTCAATTTATGCATGATCTTTACCATCATTTTCTTCATAAATGAGCGTTAGGATCATTTTCTTTTAAAATAGTTAAGAACCAAAAGTCTGCTTTAATTTGTTTTGGTTCTCCATGAAATATTTGTATCACCATATGTATGAGAGAAATCATCTTTAATCAACCAATATGGGGGGATCAAATAAATACTCTAGATTTGAATAATCCACCAAATATCTCTTTGATAATACCATAATAAAACAACCTCATATGTTGTTCCTGAAGGTAATAATTTATTAATCAATGTCCTCTAATGAGCGACGCATTGTATCTTGATAACATATTAGCACCAAAATGATATTTTATATAGTGTTCGGCTAGCAAGAACATTAAGCTCTTGTGATGACTAGTGTCATTGTTGTTATGCAATTATGATTACCTTCCATTGGGAGCCCAAGACATATTTTTCAGCTAATGTCGTAAACAGCCCAATCATGTTCAAACCAAACCCAATAGGCTAAAGTTGGCACCCTAATTGGATTAAGTTTTAGGAAGACCCGCTTTTGGTACAGTAGGGTATCCTACAAATTGGGGAGAAATGACGTCCTTAGCGGCAACATTTTGGTTGACACTCCATCTCGTGCCTCCCTGCTTGTGGTGAATTAAGGTGAGCACCTTCCGGCGATCATCTTCTGGGTTGCCTAGATATATTAAGGTATGCTCTTCTCATGGAAGGAGGGTACAAGGAACTATTTCACATCCTTGTTTTGTGATGAAAGGAGTTTCATGTTTATATGCTCTTACAAGAGGATTATATGCACAAGGATTATATGCTCAAGAGGCTTATATGCTCTTACAACAAAATTCCCTTATCAAATCTTAAAAACTACCGCAACTATTCAACTCTTGCTCCTGTGTCTCGCAATCAATAAATCGCAGATTCGAGCACCGCCCCACCCAATACTGGTGATTGCTATGCTACATAAGCTTTGCTCGACGCTGCATCTCTACCATTCTTGCGGAGCATGGACACTGGCAGTTCAACAGTGCGATGAATTGACAGGAAATTACTCATCTTCTTCCCCACTAGAAAAACCCTGAACTTCCTCTCCAAAACATAGCGGTGATTGTAACTTAGGGTACCAATAACGCATCATCGAAGGTAATAAACCCTTATTTTATTTTGGATTTAGGGCACGAATCGAATCAAATCTGTTCTATCTCTCCGTTTTGTTGTTGATTCTACTGATGCATGTGTATTTGACGTCTTCTCTTCTATCCGGAACCCTATTGTGGTGGTTTGGTGGAGGAATCGGGACTAAACTCAGGTAATTATCCACTATCTTCTCTCTTTATGTTTTGTTTATTATGAGTGAAGAGTGATTGACATCAAACCAATTGATTGGTTTTATTATGTGCTTGTGATGCATAATTGATATTCGCGATTGTGATGCATAATTGATTGACTTCTGCCCCTTTGTTACATAACCGAATTCTCGTGCTCTAAGGGAGGAATCGAGATTCAACGCATGTACAAAGCCTTCATTCTTTTCATGTATGTTTTGTCAATTGACATGTATGCGGGCATGGGCTATACAATGGTCTTTGAGTATGAGTTCAGAGGATTTGTAAGGTTGTTGATTCTGGTGTAATAGATGGTGTGGTTTTATTATGTGCTTGTGGTAAAATTGAGAGGGATACTCTCTCCATCATGCAAGTTAATATTATTTGGTTTATTTCATATCCTTGTTATAAGATTTTGGGTATAAAATGATATGCTCATGACGTGTCATGATTATGTGCTAGTTGCATGTGCTACAATGTTAATTGGGCAGTTCAATGAGTGATCTAGTTGTTGGAATGTGGCTGATTTGAGTTCAGGTGACTCAATGGACAATTATATTGTATGATAATGGCATGCTGATTTGATGATGTTTTCCATGAGTGGCAGCCTCTGATGGTTCTTTGTCATTTATATGCTTGCTTTGATAGTGAATAGGACTGAAGTTCGTTAGTACACTTCAGTAGTAGATAAAGAATCAATTGTCTAAACCCAATAGTATGAAAATAGTTTTCTCTTCAACAAATACATGCTTAATGGTTTAGGTCCTTTGGTTTCACAAACTCAAGCTAATATTGTATGTGACGCTAAAACAAAACTTATATGACAACAAAAACTTTTCTCTCCAATATTATGAACTTCAGGTTCATGTTTCTAGTTTGATGATCAAAATCGTATAATGATAATTACATTCCAACTCATCTCGTTGCCTAGCTGTTTATTCCCTCCCCCTTAATGTTGGAAAAGTGATTCATCAAAACAAATAGATATGCAAGCGAATCTCTCATTTCATGGACTCATGTCCAACATATATTCTCAATCTCCAATGAGCGTTCAACATAAAATGTTGGGGTGGATCAATTGGTATGTATACGACACACCCAAATATTATCAGATGAGAAATGTTAGGTTCGTGACCAAGACTAATTGTAGGGGGGACTCATGATAACTTGTTAGTTTGATGTGAATAAGTTCTACCACATGCGAACTAGCATGCCCTCAATGACAAATATTCATGCTTAATTTGACTTTATAAATAAAGTAATGGCATATTGGATAACCATAAAATATTTATCCATGGTTAGGTAACCAATCTCGCAAACATAAGATCGCGATTATATAACAAAAACACATGTGATTATCTATTTGATGCATCAATCCATAGATTCCTAAATGATCCACATGATGGATGTATATTTTTTCATACACGTCATAAAACCTCAAAAGTTTACTTACTCTTTTACAAGCGATGATAAAATATTATATTCTCCTTGAGAACAAACATGACATATTAACTATTTTGTTTGAAGAATTCTCTGATTTCCCATATAACTTTCTCATGAATTCACAAATAAATGTGCATCTTGATATGTGATGGTCTAACCAGACCTATACCAAGTTATTAAATCCAGTAAACATCTGGTTTACACTTTTATGTGTATTTATAATACTAATATATATATACAGTACATATTTGTGATAAAAATAATTTTACTATTTCTCCCTTATTGGTTCCTCTATCCTAAAGGTAACAACACATTTTTTTCTCTTTCACACTTTCAGTCAACATATTCAATCAACACATTTTACATATATAAAATTTTGCGTCTTACTTCATTCACTTTTGGGGTTGTTTGCTTCATTCTTTTTTGGGAATAGTTTGTTTTATTTACTTCTATGATTAACTTCTCTTGAGCCAAAATTTCTCAAAAATATAATATCTATTTCATCTTCGAGGGAAAGGAAATCAACTTATAATGTATATAACTTGTTCCATAATATTACTATTGAATGAGCCTATAAATTAAGAAATTTCTTCCTTTCAATAAATCTTGGTAAATACTAATAAAGCCTTTTGTCGTACAACACAGGTACAAGAAAAATGAGATTTTTCATTTTAACCGTAATATACATTTCAATATTTTTGTTATCATGTCCACTTCTTCCATTGCAACTATTTCCTTCATTTTTCCACTCTCGAGAAAAATATGGGCTTTTAGAACTTGTATTTCTCTACATGTCAATGTAAAAACCGATAAGAATTTGATGATACATAAATTCATAAATTAACTCATAGTTCATAAGAAAAATATTTCATAGATATTTTTTTAATAATGATGAGCAATTTTATTAATCGTAAAAACAAAGAAAATAAACTAAAGAGTCCGAAGAAGAAAGAGCACAATGAAAGTCGACTTGAGGTAATGATGCCCCAGCGAAACAAAAAACACAAGCAAATCTGAAAAAGGGCAACAAAAGGAAAAGAAAAGAAAGCAGTTAGCTACACCCAGGGAAGCCAATCAGCCAAAGCCAGCAAAACCATCAAACACGAAGAAAGCACCCAGTGAGCCAGTTAGAGCAAACTGATTTCTCAAATTTTCCTTGAGCTGCAATCCATTTTTCATATTTATAGCAATCTAGTGGAAAACAGCCACCTAGGAAAGCCTCTCATGTTTAATACCCCGAATGTTTCTCTCCAGTCATGTGTGCCAGCAAACAACATGCAATAAATAGGAAATGAACCAATCTCTAATGTTGCAAGGAACAACGCAAATCCATTCTTCAATCACTATGCTGATGTCACCCGAACTGAGCTCGAATCTGCATTTGCACATCAACTCCATTCTATTCCGAACCGAGCTGGCAAAATCACAAACAACGCTAATGTGATCGACCGTTTCTTCTGCTTTGCAAAAGATTTCACATTTATTCACAATGGACCACCCCTCCTTTTAAGATTATCAATCGTGATAATCTTTTTGTGATAGCATAGCTACAGGAACCCGCAGATTTTGATTGGGACTATATTCTTCCACATAGCCTCGAAAGGGAAATTCATAACACCTTGACAGCGACCATCAACTGGGCACCTGCACACAGGACTCACCGAAAAAGACATATATGGATTTGGGCACCAAACAGGGCTATAAGACCCCGAGCTAAGAAGGTTGGAGCCAATAGAATCTAATTTATCTAACCAATTTAATCTCTCCCTCTCAGCCCCCTCTCAATGAAATAGATAAATTTAAATTCCAACACACATCCTCACCTGTAGTGGAGTAAATGTCCGAGACCCATGCTTCAGGGCAAACCCTAGCTGCAGCGACACGGGGGAAAGAATCGGCAAGCACCTCACTTGGAATCCACCAATCTTCCAAAAGGAGACGCAAGCACGACATCCAGGATCAACACGAGCCAGCTTCCACACATCACCAGAAGTCTCCATGATATTCTCCCAAACATAACTAGCGAAACCAACCCTCATAGTCTTCGTGCTCCAAACAATAATGGCATTAGGGGTTTTCACCTAAATGAGCTTCTGCCACCAGCTCCCACTCTGCAATGCATACTTCCAAATCCATTTTCCCAAAATCGCATTGTTGAAAGCTTCTAAGTCAACAATTCCCAGTCCACCATCCTTCTTAGGGGATCTACAAACATCCCAACTAACCAGATGATCCTTGTTAGTCTCTCCAACACCACTCGAAAGAAATCTTCTTTGCAACTTCTCAATCTTATTAACCATCTTCTTAGGATCCTTGAACAAATAATAGAAGTAAGAAGGCTGGCTAGTCAATCGAGAATTCAACACAATCAGGCGAGCCCCCAAGGAAAAATATAGTCTCATCCGTCCTTCCAATCCCTGTTGTATTTTCGAAACAATGGGGTCCCACACCGAGCAAGCATTAGGCCTAGCACCCAAAGGTAAGCCTAGGTACTTTGTGATATCGTCACTTCAACTAAATCCAAAGATATCAACAAAGAACCCAGGTTTCGGGACATTGCCGACAATGAATATAACTGACTTCAATCCACTAACGGTCTGAAAGCATATCAAGGCCGCCAAAAGACTTATAATCAGCAAAAAAGATACGAGTGACCATCCCATCGCTGTTACCGTCATCCATGAAAAACTCATTCAACAAACCAGCGTCACCAAGTTTGTTGATCATAGAGGATAATATATCCATAGCCAAGGGAAACAACCCATGAGAAAGAGGAACGCCTTGTTGGAGGCCCTTAGAGGCCAATTTTTTTTCTTTTCTGACAAAATCAATGAAAATAATAATTTATGAAATCAGCATATATTATAAGGTTGTATGATATTGTTATTCAAATTATAGCTCAAATATTAACAAATAGTTGTACTAGGTACAATATTCATGGATGGTACGAGAAATAAGTAGCATGCATTGGGGCATATGTAAATAACAAGATAATCTCAATACAAATAAGAAGAGAAAAATGATGTACTTTAAACAATGAATTTTCTTCTTATAGGTAGTAGAGTTTCGTGCTGATAACGTGTTAAGAAAATATGAGGAATACGAACAACTGCAAGAACCAAGTATAGAGAGAAAAACACATAAAGAAAAGGAGTAGGGGTGGGCAACGGGAAACGAGTATTTGCGTATACCCGTTCCATTTTTTTAGTGTTACGGGTACCCAAATACCCATAAATTTTTTTACGGGATAGGACGTGGGATTAAGAATCACTAGTTTGGGTACCCTAGGGTTACTCGTTAACCCATTTGGGTATTACGCGTACCCGTTATACCCATTAGTCCAAAAAGGAAATTAACTAGTTGTTTAAACAAGAAAGACCACGTAGATGGCATATTGGATCAAACTGCCAGAGTGATTCCTTAGTGACCAGATAAATCTATAGTGGGATCATTATTGTAGATATGCATCACTATTGCCCAACCTGCAGTTAGACAATAATGGTTAGAATAGATGACATCAGTATCACAGAATAACAAATGCAACATACTGTAAACTAAAAGAGAAAGCTTTCTCAATAAACGCACAAAATGGATACCAATATTGGAATCAAGCTTTTCAAAACCCAACAACAAGCAAGACAGAAAAAGAAAGTAGGAAGGAAAAACAAAAAGAAAGTTCCTTCTAGGTCCTAATTTTGGGTCCGAATTCTTTTCGTGAGCTACAAGATTGGAACTAGTATCTATGGTAAATAAGAGGTCTAAGGTGGAAGCTAGGGTGAGTGGACAAGTATTTACGGGTAGTATGGGTACTCGTTATCCGTCCTATACGAGTAATGGGTACCCGTTAACCGTACGTGTTTGGGACATTGGATGGAGATTTCTATTCAAATGGGACTCGGTACCCGTTTTAAATGGGACGAGTATCTCGTCCCGTCCCGTTGCCCAACCCTAAAAAGGAGAAGAGACATTTCTTATTCATATGTCTTGTTAGTATAATGTGTGCTCTTTAACTTATACCACATATAACTCTATCATCAATGCACATAATGATGATTAATGAGCAATTAAGCTCAAATTCAAATGTGATGGGAGGCGAGGGGTTATATGTAGGGCTGTTAATGAGTCAAGCTATTCGTGAGCGGCTCGGTCTTGAACTCGATAAAATCTCGTTCGATTAAAAAAAGCTCGGCTCGTTTAGCTCTACCTTATTTGGCTCGTGAAGCTCGTGAACTAGCTCCATTAGGTGTCTCGTTGAATACAACTCATGAACTGTCTCGTTTTGACCTTATGAGATGTTCCAACATTGTGACTAGAGAGCCAACTCGACTACAGCTTATGAGAAAATCAATTTATATTTTATGAGTTGGTTTGTTAATAATGTATATATCACCTCATATGGTGTTTAATACATTGAGTATATGTAAGCAAATGCGTCTCATATATGACATAAAATTAGGTAATCAAATGTATCACATATGACATATAAATATTAGGGTATTTATATTATAAATTATCTTAGAGTTAAGCTCGAGCCGAACTTTCGATCTTAATGATATGACAAGATTTAATAACTGAGATGACTCGTGTTCAACTCAACTCGGCTTGTTTATAAATGAGCCGAGCATGAACTAGGCAATACTCGGCTCGACTCATTAACAGCCCTAGTTACATGTAACAGTTTAGTTACATGTAACACTTATTTGTTCACCTATGTGGGCATCTAATGTGGTCATCCACATTATGAATATTTTCATAACAAGTTTAGGGTTTATATGAGAACTCATTTGGACATCATTGGCTGGTAATTAATGTTATTGTGCTCATTATTAACAACTTTATTTTACCAAATAATATATGCTACATAAGTCTATCTTTAGACTTAGCCAAATGAAATTTCATGTATCTTCTACCCAATATACCTCTACATTAAAGCTATTATGTCATAGTAGTTGAAAAACCTACCTTTTTAATATGAGGTGTTGTTCATATACATACATGTATATGATCATCAACATTCGTTCCTTGGAGGAAAGTGTATTAACACCATCAACAAATCTTCCTTAAATTTCTTATACTAGCTCTATGACATAAACGGTGGGATATACTAGACTCGTACATGAGTTATTCCCTTGAGTTATTACCTTTCCAAGTTTCTACTATGAATATGTTCATGTCACACTATAGGGTTCTTATATAGTATACGTAACATCAACTTCTCTCCTCCAAATTCACTATTTATAAAACTAAAGTGGATATATTCCGATTCTTTTCCATAGTTTTACCTAATGAACTTGTTAACCAAAATATTAATCTAATTGCTTACCAATGGTATGGCCTAAATAGATTATCATACCACTAACAATTTAGATCTTACTATAAAACTTATATAATTACTTATCAAAAGTATTGTCAAGGTAGCTTGATATAACTAGGACTGTACATGGGTGGGTGATTTGGATTTAGTGTTTTTAATCTAATTGCTTAGTGTTTTTACCTAATGAACTTGTTAACCAAAATATTAATCTAATTGCTTACCAATGGTATGGCCTAAATAGATTATCATACCACTAACAATTTAGATCTTACTATAAAACTTATATAATTACTTATCAAAAGTATTGTCAAGGTAGCTTGATATAACTAGGACTGTACATGGGTGGGTGATTTGGATTTAGTGTTTTTAATCATCCAACCCATACACGACGGTTTGAAAACACTAAATTCAAACCCATCCAAAACAAATTAGAACTCTGCGGTTTGTTTATAATTGGCTTGGGTTAGGTGGACTATACATTTAAGTAAAAGCCCAACCAAACACAAAAAATTAAATATTTTGCTCTATAAAAGAAAAGATTATATAACTAACTAAATTTTAAGCAAATAAACCAAAACGATAATAATTTTAATGCATAGGAATTTTTGTTTGGATCTCAATGAAGTGCAATTTGCTTCAACATATATCTAGTAGTTTCTATAAAAATTTACTGAAATAAGCTAAAGCGGTTATTCAGTATCAGCTAACATATCCATAATATATTACACTTCTAAAATTGTAAACAATAAAAAAGACAATGGCATAACTTGTATTAAATCTATATCTCAATTTTAAGTTGAAGAAGGCACTTGGATAGTGAGACCATGAGAGAAAAAAATGACAAAATATCCAAACTTTTGCACAAATATGCTTGTTTAGGACACAAATAAGTTTTGGATACGAACACTTAGGACAATAGTTGTGACCAAAGCAGTCAATATCTAGCTTCTATATAAAAGCAAAATGATAGATAAAATTGGAAGCACAAAACCGAAGCAAATCATAAGCTTTTCAAAATTCTATATATTTCATAAAAAATTTCTTATTATAACTTTTATTTTGAAAAATATAAAAAAAATAAGTGAACTAACTCATAAGTTAAAGATCACTCTCACACACATAAACTAAACCAATAGACTTTTAAACAAGCATTCACCGCTTTCCGCTTGCTTTTGGGAAAGAAATATGAGAAGCGGAAACCATCAGCAAGTGTTGAAGGTATAAGGGTTGTAGGGAACCTTTACTAATAAGTAAAAATGGGGGCAAATGGGAGGCTGAATGAGAGGAGTTTCGACGATCGCATAGTTATAGGGGTGGGATGGGAGTTTCAGGGTTGGGAAAGGATGTTGGCGACATAAATCTTGATGTGGCATGTGCTTGTTTTGGAGGGAGAGAAAAGAGGAGAATGGAGGAGAAGTGTCTATGAATGAGGGGTGATGAATTTGTAGAAGGAAAGACTGAAAGGATAACCCAGCTAAAAACAAATAAATATGAATTTTTTCTATTTTAGTCAGCAAATCTGAACCAAATATGACCCATTAGGTAGGGTGTTTAACGGTTTGTTCTAGAGAAGACCACACCGGACCAAACCGACATCGAGACTAGACCAAACCGATCAAATATAATGCAGTATGCTACTTGGTCCTATGAATTTTATAAATACTAAAGGGAAATGGGTCTGGATGATATTTGGTTCGGACCAAACTGGACTGAATGTAATGTTGATCCGGTCCTTGGTCGTAATTTTTTTACTTTTGGACTGCGGTTCTCAAGGTTTGAACGAGTCCAATTCGAACCATACCATTGCAAACCCCGACAATATTATCATAATACCCAGATATCAAAAGCCTAAAAATGGTTTAAAAGCTAGCTTTTAAGGCTTTTACTATGATTGAAGGCTTTTACTTGGGCTTTTGATGCAAAAATATTTTTGAACAAAAGCTATTATATTGTGTAAAGAGTAAAAGCATAGGCTGTTAGGCTTTAAAGTTAGCTTTTGACTACATTGGTTGTAACTCATAACTCAAACCCAACCCAAATGAGATGGGTTCCACAAAATAAAATTATCACTGAATCTTAAATATTAATTTTAGAGGTTATACGGAGAGTTGGATTAGATTGCACAATTGGGTTGAATAAGATTCATTTTGTTCACACTTCGATATAATGCAAGTAATTCATATGCATTTGAAGATCATACTAGAAATCTTGTAAAATTACTTACTAATGGTATTTTCAAGGTAGCTTGATATACACAAGTCATTGAGATGCATTTCCAATCCAATAGCCTAATTGTTTGTCAATAGTTTAATTCTATAGATATATCATAAGTAATTTAGACCTTAAATTGAACAAAATTTCTTATATGAGATCACAAGTTAAATGGTTTGTTAATGGTATAAATTTATATATACCATAAACAATTCCGACAATATGATAATCAATATTCCAGCAAACTTCAATTTAACCATATGAATGATAAAGAATTATTATATGTTTATGATGCACGCATGAACTAGAGTTCCCTATTGTTTGTGGCCTTTTATAATGCAATCCTTTTAGTCTTGAATTAACCAAATTCCATCTCCAACAAATTGGAGATATTCTTAAATGTTTGTAATATGTTCATTTAGTTTTGAAAATAACCTTTTGCATCCACTCAAGCTAAAACTTCGGGTAAATAGGCTTGAGCCACAAGCCCCCATAGATTACACAAACTTGTGGGAGTTCATATTTTTTCCTCACATGATAGTCTTACAAACATCCATCTCATCTTTATTTATAGAAAATGAAAGATGGAACAACAAGAGAAGTACCAAGAAATAAACGGTACTAAGGACGTGACTCCTTAACCCTAACTATTGAGAATAGCAAGCAATTGGCCTGTAAATACATATACGATGATTTAGGTGTGTAGACTACTAATATAGAGATCGATGCAATGGTCATGTCTCCATACCCACCTTCTAGCCACATCAACTAGGTCGAGGTCACATAGTCGTGTTCCTTGGATAGAGTAAGCTCTACCTACTCTAAATAGGTTCTACTCGTCGACACACAAATCGAGTAAGTTAGTGGTCATCTACGTTACCCAATAAGT